TTGAGTTCACGTTAGAATCAGGAATTGCCCATTTTAATTACAACTCTTTTAGAAGTAAGACACTTCAGCGCACTTCACGGTCACGTGGAATTCTGCCTAGTTTCGGCTTCTGCATTTGGCTCTTTTTGAAAAAAAAAAAAAATAAAGCCACAAATCAGCCACGATTTTTTTTTTCGACTACATTTGAGATGGTCGCCAGAATGGCTGGGATGTTTGGCACGGAATGATCCGTATATAAGTAACAGCTAGATGGGTTGTCTTCTCTCGGCAGCCAGTGCATTGACACACGCAGATACCACACCTTCGCTTGCACAACCCTGTGCGGTCAGTGGTGTTTGACTGTAAGACGGTAAGTTGGGCCAGTTGGTTAGGATCTATCGTGAACTTACAGCGCAACACCAGAAAATACAGGACAGGGAAGGAGCAAAAGAGAAAGAAAAGACGGCGCTGTCTTTTCTTTCTCTTTTGCTCCTTGCCTGTCCTGTATTTTCTGGTGTGGCACTGTAAGTTCACGATGGGTGTTTCTCGCCAAGGCAGCGCGTGGGCGCGTGATGAAGTGGCTTGCTTAACAGGGAACGGCACTCTACACTGCAAGTCACGACAGCTGCCGCAGACAGGCCCACAGAACACCTATACACTATTGCGGCCTCCGAAGGTTTATGCAGGTGGTCGCCCTCACTGCATACCTTAGTGAAGACGTCATCGGCGACCACATGACTGTGCGCTCTACAGCGGCGCCACGGAACCTTCTACTATAGCCACATTCTAGTACACTATACTTCTACTACACTATACTTCTACTCGCTATCTTCCATGTTCTGCGTTTGCTCCCTTTCAACCTCATTCGCTCTGAAAACGGGCGCTTATGAGCTGTGCTTCAGGGGGTCTGGCTGCGGCAGTGGAACAGGTGGAACACCTGCCCAAACCCAGCAGCCCACACGGCGCTGCAGAGCGCGGCCGAATTAGCTCATCGAGGCACTCTACGGCCTTGCCATCTTGCCGCACTCGCCATTTTTGGGTACACAGTACTGAGGGACTATGACACTACGTTTCTTGAACAACTGATGTCTCAGATAGAACCCTTTAGGAGTAGTTTTTCGTGAACAGATTTTGCAAGTATTTTCGAAAAGCTGCAGCAGTGAGGCAGAAACCTGCGCAGATGCACGAGGCAAGTCAAAATAATAAACTGCATTAATAATAAAGCTCCAATGCGCATATGTACTAGTCCACTGCCAGTTTTCATACAACCTTAAACCAAAATCTACATCCAATAAAGATTGCATGTTGAAAGCAAAAAGCACAAAAAATGCCTTTTCATTTTATCCAAGAAGGCAGCACAGCAGTACATAATCTGTGCTGCCTCCTCTAGCAGCTTGAAATGCACATAGGACATTGGTACAAAACATGCACAACTAGCAGTACAGCAGCCTTGTCGTGAACACAACCAATCTGCTCACCTTCTACTGCACATAGCAACCAAGCTTGCATAGTAACTGTCACAACAGTTACGTACGTCGAAGCACCATGAGCAGAGTGAACACACATTGCAGCAAAACATATACACGACCTTTTTGTTCAGCTCTCCATTCCCATAATAATAACTATATACAAAATTTAGTTGTCAGCATGGCTCCACCTAACTAGTCTCCCGTGATCTAGAAATACCACTGGGCCCAGGGTAGCTAATGATTACGAACATTTTCTCAGTACGAAAAGAAAATAAGTTCATAGGTTTATAGAGGTATTTTGGTTATGCATTCTTGATACGTCCCCTCAAATGCTTTCCATGTATTTCCCTGCTCTTTGCCTTTGTCCCGATGTAAAAGAAACAGTTTCTCCAATCACCATAAAAAAAACTTGGCGGAAATCCCTCTCCAGCCGAACACAGCTTTCGGTAAATTTTTACTAATTGTTTGGGGCAATTCAACATAGAACAAAAAGAATACAGCAAATGGGAAAAACCTAAACAATCATGCAACATCATGCAGCTTCCCAGTGACGGTGACAGGCACTGTAGCCGACCCAACAAACATTTTTTTTTTTTTTTTTTTGCTATCATGAATGGGTTCAAGGCGCTAAGAGTGTTGGAAGAACATATGGTTGGCTAGAACACGTAATCTGCATTGATTGATATGTGGGGTTTAACGTCCCAAAACCACCCTATGATTATGAGAGACGCCGTAGTGGAGGGCTCCAGAAATTTCGACCACCTGGGGTTCTTTAACGTGCACCCAAATCTGAGCACACGGGCCTACAACATTTCCGCCTCCATCGGAAATGCAGCCGCTGCAGCCGGGATTTTAACCCGCGACCTGCGGGTCAGCAGCCGAGTACCTTAGCCACTAGACCACCGCGGCGGGGCACGTAATCTGCATGGTGACCAAATAAGTCTTTCAGCTAGTTAGATGCAGCACGGGGCAAGCTTCTGTAGAAACTTTCAATCAATGCAAAAAAAGTAATAGTTTTATGTACCAAAAGCATACGATTACGACACGTGCAGCAGAGCTCTAGATTAATCGACCACTTGCAGAAATCTTCAAGGCCGATTTCCTGCAAGGTTGTTTTCCAACCAAAAGAACAAAAAAACTCCCGTGCCCAGACTGCTTTTCTCACTCGCTGTGCTTTTACCACTCCTATTCCAGTGAAGGCACGCGAGTACGACAAAACTTCAAACGAACCCTCAGATCGCATGGTGGGCGAGGCACCTGGTGTTCGCGAAGATGGAAGTCGTGGGAAGACAAACACAATGAGTGAGAAAAGCAGTCTGTGAACGAGACCTTTCGGTTAGAAAACTTTGCAGATTTCCACAAATGGTCAATCGACTTCTTGCATTTCTTTAGTATGCAGCTGAATCGAATACTTTTTCTTTTTAATATTGACTTCGTAAAAATGAGACTGGTGCGGCCGTGAATGAAATCTACCGTCTATACTTAGCGACAACTTATCTAAACATTAGAGTGAAGGCTAAGGAGGGAAGGCTTCAGCACTACTGTGTTGCTCCGCAAGTACTACATTCTTTTGCTCACATCATTAGGATGTTTACAAAATTATATTCTTGAAAATGTAAATGACCCACACATTTTGATTGTTAATTGTACATTTTAGTGGCACATTACATTTGCAGTCGCACACTGACCCACTACGCCATGGACACCAGCTTTCCTTTAGAAAACGAGTATGCTGAAAAGGTGGTACTCTCGGAAGGCATTCCTGCAAAGAGAATACCTGAATTTTTCCTACAACTTCCCTGAACTGTTTGAGTCTCATAATACAGCAGCATTCATTTAGGCAAGGCCAATGAAAGATTAGTATACTTGAAATACCATCGTTTAGTGCAGTAGCAGGCATGCGCTTCGGTACTGTGGCTTCCATAGTGCCACCAAGGAAAGTTGTCGCAGCGTATAGCTTACCAGCACCCTTTAGCCGCCAGGCTACCATGGCCAGTAAATGTGTTATAATTCTTTAGGAAAAATTGCATTTTTACAGGTTGACAAAAATATTCTTGCAGTGCACACACACAACAGCAAGGTATAATGAATTTACATCTGGACAACTCACCCCAAAAGTTCACAACTATTGCCACTAGTCAGCTTTAACAGACCCGGTTATAGTAGCAAAGAAACTTCTTGCAACTACACGAATTGCAAAAAATGGCCTTGCATGTACTGGGGGGGCACTGGCTACAGCCTGCATTATCATCAGAAATTATCCAGAGTGTGAAACCCACGGCACACAGCTGGCAGGAGCATTGGTCTGGCATTAAAGGCGACCCTCAATCTGCAACCCAAACTGGGAGAGTAGAAGTAGTGTTAATGCACGGAACACAACCCTCACAAATGACACCGATTCATGAACCACAGCCCAGGCCTTCTGTATGGGTTCGGTCTATGAAACAGCAGCCCACGTGCCACGTGGACTGACACCACGCACTCGTCTCACACGCCAACTAGTTAGCCCACTTCCAGTCTGGAGACCTTACTTGCCACATCAGGAGAAAGGGTGACCCCCCGGCCTAAGGGGGAGAAGTGGCCCCGGAACCAAGTGCAAAACTAAAATGAGATCTGTCAGCACTATCGTCCTGGACGGAGAGTTCCCGCTACGACACTCTTGAAGCACTATCCTTCAGTCTAATTCAGACAGGAGCATATCCCTCACCGGTAGTTTATGCAAGACTCGTAAGCGAACTAAAGCCGGCATGCCCCTGATGCAGCATCTCGCAATGCAACTTGCAACATATGCTGTGGCAAGGCCCAGAGTTGTGCGCAGACGACAGGTCTCCAACCGCAGAAAAGTACACTGCTCACAAGTCCCTACGACAACGACCAACTTCGGGCCGTACAGAGGGCTCATGAGCTGGCCGTCGAGGCCTCTTATGAGATCATCGCCTTCTCGGGACCAAATTATTCAGTCAGTGAAAAGAGTAGAGTTTTCGGTTCTGCCCCAGTGTCGTGACCACGAGCTCCATTTCACCGTAAGTTGTGAAGAATTACCACAAGCCCACAGCACAGAATGCATGCAGGTTAAGTTAACAAGGCAGCCGGCAGAATTCACTGTCAGAATTTTAGGCGTGACCGCAATTTAAACAGACACAAAAGAGAAAATGACAGCCTGGATTGACGAACTGAACTCCGAGAGCTCCAATGCCATATGCTTCACTATCACTAGTTCACTATCAGCCAAGAAAATTAAGGTTGAAGTTGCAATTTTGAATTCCGCGCCGAAATCTCCGCAGGCGACGTCAAAAATTTCAAAATGTACTTTTCATATTTTCGCAATGTTGGCTAGATTAAATCTTTTACACCTTTGTACGCTAAATCTAAGACACCAACAAGTGACAGTTTACTTCATTTTTATCTATTGTAAACTACATAGCACCCAGTAGCTGCCTCCAAAATCTTCTACACCAAAGTGTTGGGTGCGGGAATCTAAAGGTGGTGCCACCTGTATTTCCTTTTTCGGACGTTTTCTCGCTTATGTATTATTTTACAGCAAGAGAGGAGTTTTTGGGATCAGGAAACTGCACTTTATTAAGCAAAAAAACATTGTGCTCTTCAGTGTTCCTATAAATACCAGGTATGCCACAGCGGGGACTGACTGGTTCAATTTTGACGCCGAGGTTTTTAAACGAACACCATAATGCAAATACAAAAGTTATTCAAATTTTGCCGCTATCACAACACTACTTCTGCATTCACTATCAAGCAAGCAACATTGAGCCTAGCCCAGCAATACAATAACCAATGTGCGAGTAAATTCTTGAGTTCAAGCCACAATTTGATTACTAGGCATGGTATAAACTGAAATATCGGCATTCATTTATTGTTTAGCATGAACCTAAATGCACAGAGTGTTGCAATAGGTGTCCACTGAAATGCAACTGGTATACCCGGTGAGCCAACCAGCGCCCTTGTGCAGTGAAACATTGTAGCCATTAAGCTACACTGGTGGATTGGATGGGTGCATTATGTGCATTCTTCAAAATTCGACAACCAGTGAATGACAAGACAGACAATATGTAGCATTGGCAATGGTTTTCTTTATCTAGCAAGTCCAGCTTTCACATTTTTGGGACTGCAATTATGTACACAGTATACAGTCCTGTAAAAAAAAATGGGGGAAGGCAAGCACTTCAACAGAAAAAAAATGTGAGCAAGAAAACTTGCTAAAATGTTTACGGCAATATCGTTGCTTTAGCGTGTTTCACCTCTAGAGCTCCGAGCTCTAAGTAGGACAGCAATGCTGAAAAGCAACTTTGAATCAAGGTGTTTTATATAAACCTTTGGCCACCATACTTGAGAGCACTCGGTAACAATAAAAGTACTTGAGACCTCTGAAGTTACACCTGAAAAATTTCCATGATTTTTGTTTTAAGGGGAAAACTTGAGAAATCCTCTGGAGAATTACGTTGTGTCATAGGGACTCTTCCAAAGTAGCACAACATTCCTTTAAGAAGTGGTTAAAATGTTACTGTCAACACTGCCGCATACGAAAACAGACACATTATGTATTCGATTCCCGGAGGTGGGCAGGTTCTTGCATTAAGATAGGCATTTCTAACAAATTATTAGCATGAATAAAGATAAGTCATGTCTGCGTCTGACCGCAATTTTCACTCACAGGAGCCCATCACCCACTTTGTCTTGCAACAATGTTTAAAACTGTCCGCATTATCCCTACCTTTCCCTTACCGAAGAAAAAAAAATTCCTGGCAAGATTACCCTGCCTCAAGTCTCTCAGTCATGTATGTGTGTTACATACAGGACGTATGTAAGTGTGTTTGGACTGAAGCTAAGGTTTGGAATGAAGCCTATATATATATATATATATATATATATATATATATATATATATATAAAAAGTTTTCTAGAAATCCCACCAATTTTCATGTTTTGATAGGGTATGGTGAGGTCAACATGTGCCAGGAGGCTAAGGTCGCAGGTGAGAAGGAGGGGAAGTATACTTCCAACAGCAGTTGTCCACCACACACTCTTTCAGTCACAAGGTGCCACCAACACATTTGCTTTTCTTTCTGGTTCATTCCCCATTCGGACTTGCGATGCCTAGATGTACTGGGCCAGCCAGCGGAAACCTTCGCCATAGCCCTGCCTCTTGAGAACACTGCACATAAACATCTCCAAAGGGCGTGCCGTCATTTCTGACCTTGGGACCTTGCCCTGCACAACATGCAAGAAAACACACAATTAAAAACTTGCTTCCTTTCTCCGTGCAGAGATCCAATACAATGTCAGCAATGGAACTCTTGCTGTGCAACATAACTGTACAAAACTGAACGAGTGCAACATTAGGGAACTTTGCAGCCTTTTTAATAGTTTGCAGTCTTTAGCAGTTTTCGTGGGGTGGAGGGGAGGGAGGAAGTAAGCACATATTATATCCTGTAATAACAAATTCATCATTGATGTCGAGAACTGCTTCTGTCAGCTGGAAAATAGAATAATCCATTTAGGTACAGGCCATTCAAAACTGAACAGCATGAATGGGATTTACTGTGGCAGAGAGAAAGCAAAAAATCTAGACAAATTTGTCAAAAGGAGACTCATTAAACTACTCTTGAATTAAATAATGGAATACCACCAGGACTGCTAGCAAAGCCATGCAGTGACCTATTTTCTGGTCACATGGCAACAGGATAGTTAATTTTCTTTCACCTCTTGATAATGAACACATATTTACACATCTTAAAAATTTTGAAGAGTGAAATGCTCCCTAGAGACACTTTGCAATTTCAAATACACACTGTACTTCTAAAACACTAAAAGATACTATTACGCTAACAATCCTGATATGCACTCAGCTCAAAGCGCCCAGAAACGCTGCATCAAGACGCTGGTTGACGCAGCACTTAGACGTGCCAAGGAAAGCACAGCACAGAGCCCGGAGTTCCACCAGTCCTATTTCGCCACACGTACTTGGTCCACCTAAATGCTATTCAGTTACCCATCAATCCCTTTTCATTAGCTTATACAACTCTCTGCATAACCTTTAGCACAGTCAGTCTTGAAATCGGCTAATCGGTGCACACTGGTTGTGAACGAAGGAACAGTGCTGGAACAAGACAAAGAAGCTGTTTACTAAAACAAGCACTGTGCGCACGTCCTTTTGTTTCTTGTTGTTGTGCCGTTTCTTTGTTGAAACACTTGATCACTTAACTGTCTCATACGGTAGAGAAATCACCGAGGCAACCTATGCCCAGAAGTTTCACAACCAGCATCACAATGACTATTATCTAGGTTTGTGCGAATATTCGAATGCTTCGAATAGTTGAATGGATATTACAGATTTCGAATTCCCTTAGATTCCAATTTATACAGTGATGAAAACAGCATTCTAATTTCTGGAGCAGACTCCGGAGAAGTGAATTGATTGTTCTTGAAGCAGCAGAAATGCTAGCCTGGAGCAGCTATTAGTGTTTTCGAAGCACATCGCAAACCATTCGAAACGACTTTTAAAGTGCAGTGCATCATTTAGCCTTTTATAAGTATTAATACTTATTAAACATTGCACAAACAATAGTTACTGCAAATTAAAAAACATAGTTAAGCAGATGGATGGTCGTTGAACACAAAGTGTTATTTTCATATTTTGCAAAAGTAGGCAGCAACAAAATTTTATAAAATCATATAAGCTAAATGAACTAACACTTGAAATGCTTGTTCTAGTGACAAGCAAGGTCAAAGCTGATGAAAGTGCTAAATGTAATCAGTCACATGTCAAAGTCATCACAGCAGCATCTAGTATGACTAAGAAGTCTCACATGCATTTCACAATTTCACCACATGCATTTCAATTGTGAGGCACCAATATACAACTATATCATACTGTATTTACTCGCATAATCCTCGCACTCGCACAATTCTCGCACCCCCCACATCGCCCAACAAAAATACGAGTTCTTTTTTTTCTCGAGTAATTATCACACCCCTGAAAATTGCTGCAATAATGTCGTCTGCACTTTCCAGCCACTGATAATGATAGCGCACGTCATCTGGCGCCATCTCTTAAGCATCAAGCGTACTATTGCACAGAGATTCAATCCAACTCAAGCCAAGCCGAAGTGGCCAGTGCGCGTTGCGGCATGTTTTGTATGTTGCGCTGGTAACCTTGTCAAGTTGTGAGGCGATACTGAAGCTGTACGGCTGCTTTCAAGTTGCAAGTGATAGATAATGCACTAAAGAACGGCAACAGGGCCGCCGGTAGGCCCTTGGGATTGATGGTAAACTTTATTTTTTAAGAAGGAAACTGCGGACAATTCTGTTAAATAGCCATCAGAACAATACTGACGTCCCACGCTAACCTTTTGAGGGCTCCTGTTGAGCGACGAACGCTACCGCTACGTCCGCAAGCTTTGCTTATGGTATTCTAATTCTCGACTATTTGCTTCCACTTTTTGCGTCTCAATAAGTCTTGTGTTGAACCTCTGCTTTTATTGTTGAAGTAAGTTTTAGTACTTCTTAAAGCTTGCTGTTAGTTGCTGGTGTGAGAATCCCGATTTGCATCCACTTGGTTTTCTTTTTCGCTCTGTATGTTTTCATAGAAAGTTTTCCCCGCGCCATTCTCGCACCCCCCAACTTTTCATCGGTCTTCCGGCAAAAAAAGTGCGAGGATTATGCGAGTAAATACGGTATATAGATATATAAAAAATGCTAGTATGTGTAGCATAGTTGGCATTATAGTACACAGCTGCTGTACAGGCTGTACACTAGATAACAGAACACAGTTTCCTTTCGTTTTCGTATAGGCTCGCCAGATTGTCACATGGTTTCACTTTATTGGTTTTATTTTCCCTAACGCCATTTAGGAGCAGTTACCAAGAAATATTGCATTTTAAAGCAGCATGGTGCAGCATTTCTGTTTAGCAGCAAGTTGAGCAGAACAAAAGTCTCCATCACTGAATTTAAATTCAGTGATGGAGACTCGTTTAATTCTTAAAAGTTTTGAAGTATTCAAATAAATTTTAGTCTGCATATAACCCCCTATAAAGATGGTATCACTGCAAAGCCGTGAAAGCATCTTTCCAAAGTACATTAGTGCACATGTAGCCCCCCTGGTAGAAAAAAAAAAGAGGAAATTTGAAGGCTCGCTTTCTTTGTTGGACCCAATATTAATAAAAACTAATTTTTTATGTATACGTGTATATATAGTTGTCCATTCTCGTTTAATTTGCCCCTATAAAGGTTGTTTTGCTGCAGCGAAGTGGTGCTAAGCCGTGAAAACATAGGAAAACTTGCACTGCTGTGAAGCTGCACTTCAAGGTTAAGTAACGATGTCAACCTCACATCAGTTCACTTTTTCAAGTTTAAAAGTTTGTTGAACCAACATATGTGCTACAGTACAGTGAATTTTAAAACTTTACATAATTCATAGCTTATCACTCGCATTCTACCTTAAAGGGCCAGTAAACAACCTCAAGGTTCAAAAATTGTCAAGAGAAATTTCTGCACTTTTACTTCGTGAACATGCTGCCGCAGCCCCGCCGCGGTGGTCTAGTGGCTAAGGTACTCGGCTGCTGACCCGCAGGTCGCGGGTTCAAATCCGGGCTGCGGGGGCTGCATTTCCGATGGAGGCGGAAATGTTGTAGGCCCGTGTGCTCAGATTTGGGTGCACGTTAAAGAACCCCAGGTGGTCGAAATTTCCGGAGCCCTCCACTACAGCGTCCCTCATAATCATATGGTGGTTATGGGACGTTAAACCCGACATATCAACCAACATGCTGCCACAATAAATACGTTCTATATTAGGTTACAGGGGCTAAAACATCGCATTCAACTGGTTTCAAATTTTCGCGCAGTCTCGCCACTCTTTTTCAGAGGAGGGGGAAGGCGTGGCCCGTTGTCATGACTCCCCCCCCACTTTAGCAATGTAACAAGACGTCAGCGATTAATGTCATCGGCCAACTTCATCAGTCGCAACGCATTTCCGCTTGCTGCGATGCCCGATTGCTTACCCTTTACCCGGTGCCGATGCTTCTCCAAAGCCCAGTCACTCGATTTGCAGCCGACAACAATTTGCAGCAAAACTGGGGGGGTGGGGGGTACACTTTTTTTTGTTTGTAGCTGTGATGAATTTGCCTTAGCGAAAAGCATGAATATGTTTTGCCGCCATAAGTCAAATCAACGAGGCAAATTATTTCCCCCATTTGTGGCACCAAAAAAAAAAATAATAACATCACGAGAAAATAACATCACGTCCTAAACGCAAGCGCAAGCATCGGCGTTGCGGTCTCATAATGGCTTAGAGTGGCAGAACACACAATGATAGGGTTTCCCACTATAAGGCGAGTCTCACAAAGGGGGAGCGTAAATGCAACTGGAATTTCGCGTCATCGAAACAACTAGCAAAAAAAAAATCTACAATACAGTCTAACCCCGCAACAACGAAACTGAAGGGGCGCGAAAAAAATTCGTTGAAGCGAAAATTTCGTTGTGGTGAAATAAAAAATATAGCCTACCTGAACTAGCAAAACAAAGGAACATTTATTCTCAAAATTCGAAAAATGTCCGCTGCTTCTTGTTCTTTCCCAGCAGTGTTACAACATGATTCTCACCCATAGGTAGCAAGGCCATGGTGAAAAGCACGCTGAAACAATGCCTAAAGCCACCTTCATAAATGAACCAAACAGGTGCGTTAACACCAGCACTTGTCCGCCACCAAAAGTATTCGACAACGCCGAGATGGAGGCAGGGTATCGTGGAGCGTTGACTTTTGCATTATTCTATGCCATTCTTATCCATCACTGGTGGCTAGCCGATTTTGTTGATAATGTGGTCAAACGGCCGCTCTGATTACTTACCACACAGGCCAGCGCAAACAAAATGACGAGCATTGGAATCGAAAAAGGCAGGAATAAAAAAAAAGGCATCGTTCGGCGGTTGCACCCAGCAGCTGCGTGAAGGAAACCATGAATTGAGCGACTGAGCTTCAGCTTCGGATCATCTGCGCCTCAAAAGCAAGTCAGTGGCAAAAGCAGAGCAGTCTCACTGCCGTCGTTATCGAGCAATGGCGGGGCCCATGCTCGCTGAACAGCGGCGTTTACGCGGTTACTGGTGGTGCCAACGTGTGTTTTAGACTTCGTTGACACATTTTCAGGCTCTGAAAATGCATTGAAATGTCAGAATAGGTTTACTGCATAAAAATAGGTATCTGAGCCTGGAATTGC